GTTATCACCGCTCTGACCAAACGAAGCCCAAGCCCTGGCACGACCTTTCCGAGAAGGCCGAGAATGGCCACCCCAAAGAACCAAAAAGTCTGACATAGGATGACAACTAGACGAAGCCCTTACAGAAACTGAAGTCGCCACAAACAGCAACGAACAAAATGGTGACGAAAACCTAAGAGCCAGGGCCCAAGCAGATTCCAAAGAAAGAGTGAGCGCAGCCTGACAGCACATGTGACGAGAAGCAAAAAACAGTCACCGCCTCCTTGAGAATCGGCACAAAGAGCTTCAACAGCACGGCTGACGCCTGAGCCGCCGAGGTCACTGCACAAGACGAAAGCCTGGCACGCAACGCCTCTACATCCTCCTCAATCCAGGCCAAAGACAGCTCGAGAAGGGAAAATAAGTGCAAGACCGAAGCCAAATGCCCACGAGCGCACAAATTCTCAGCGACAAAGGACACTATTAGGAAAGGAACCTGCATGTGCAGCTGCATAAAGTCAACATTCTGAGGAAGCACAGGGGCAAACAAGCATGGATTAAGGCGCTCAAACTAAAACCCCCAGGTAAAACTGCAAAACGGTACAAGTTTCTTGCCAATCCAGCGTGCGGGTCCAACAGAACTAATGCCACACACCCTCAACGAACAGAAAGGGCAGTCTGCAGCCAGGAAGACTCCGAAACCTCCAAACGCACCCAATATGGGGCAGAAGAACCGAACTCAAACGAGGATGGATCCATCATGGAGGCAGAATCCGGGTCTCGCAGGGGGTAAGCAGCAAGTGCCTACCGAACCTCCTTAGGTGAGATACGAGAAGCAGAAAACCTCTGGAAAGAAGGAGCCGAGGAGCCCAAGGGAACCTGGAACCGAACCCGGGGAGGAGCCGACCCCAAATCATATTCATACAGGGAAGGGGGTGTTAAGAAAATCCCTTCCCCTGCAATGACAAGCCCCCGCAAAGAGGGTACCAACACCCAAGCATGGTCAAAAGGGGCCCAATCTTTCCAGGTCAACTCCTCCCCAGCCCTAGAATCCTCGAAACCAGGACTCGGGGCAGAGCAGTCCTCCATACCCTCTACCCCCGAAGAAAAGGCAGAGTTCACGAGAAAGGCAGTGAAGAAGGGGGCCTGCTGGTGTGACCCAGAAGCCTTGGCAGGAGGAACTGGCTCGAATGCCTCCGTCCCCAACCCAAATGGGGCAGTCCCCGAAACTGCCCATGTCTCATTACCAACTAAACCCTGCCCTGACTCCGAAACCCAAAACAAAATTTTTGCGAGCCAGAAGCTGGGTAGGGGAAACAGGATGAACAATGAGAAGTACCGGGGAGCGCAAACTGAACCAAAGTCACAGCAACTAACGACCCCAGGTCCGGATTCCTATAACCATAAAGGGGGCAGCCTCGGAGCACCTGGGTGGGCAACCAACCTAGCGCTTTGCAGCAACCGAAAATGATCATGCAATGCAGATGTTGCCTGAACCCGAATATCAATGTCATCAGAATGGGTAAATTGAAGAACAATTAGAGAGCACGACCTGCAAGACTCCAGGTCAAGCTCCAGGTTGACCACACAGACAGCATGACAAGAGGCAAAAGCAGTGACTATCACCCTGAGACAAGGGCACACAGCAACCTTCAAATTCATAGGAGGTGAGGTGGAACTCAGAAGACACATCTATAGGTCTAATGAGCCCCAATGGGAATTTCCAGGGTGCACAGGCTGACTGCTACAGGAAGCCCAGACAAGGTACTGCAAAATTGGCTCGGCCCAGATTAACAAGGGAATCTGCTAAAGCTGAACCCCTGCGACATGTTGAATTATGGGGTCTTAGGAGGGCTGTGGGAAAATCTGGTTCTAGTATATATGCAAATAAAATTTATAATTCTATGAATGCAAAATAATATATAATTCTAAGAAAGCTCGAAGGACCAGAATACAATGTTAAATGAGAGAACCAGTGGCTTATGGATCTCTATGATTAAATGCAATAAAATCTATTATTCTATTAAATAAATAATATAATAAATAAATAAATGTTTATTTAGGTAAGGTACATACATAAAGAGATTTTACAAAGTTTGTTGGATTAATAGATAGAGCTAGTACATACAATGCCTAAAGCCACTATTACGCAAAGCGTTTCGGGCAGGAAAAACATTAATGACTAAGCTTAATACTAATGGGTAAAAAGAATAAAGAATAAAGAATATTCTTATGCAATGAACCGTAAAATTCTATACATTCTAGAACTGCTTCCCATGGCACATTTTTGGGGGGTATTCTATGAGGTTAGTCTACATAATGTGTATAAGAAATTGTAGACATGATAAATATAGTAAATGCATGTGTATAAATATTGCTACATATTAATTATTAATAAAATACTCACACACATATAAATTTGGAAAAGCAAGAAAATGTTATCGATGAGATAAATTAGCATTAAGATCTATCTACAAAACTATAAAACCAGCTTAGATGTTTGATGTATAGAAGTAAACGATCCATATGCATATGCTCGTCACCTAGAATCGTGTTTTATCTGGCTTCAGCTAGAAGCACGTGAGCATCAAGGAAGTTTCACCTCACTCGAGTTGATACTCCAGCTGAAAGTCGCTTTAAATATAAATTCTGTTGGAGAATGTATGACTCCACTAATATTCACGTAAAGTAATATGAATAGTGGAGTGAAAGGCAACTCACGATTTTGGTATTGGGGGCTCGCCTCCTAACGACATACTGTCCTATCTAAGATGTTTAATGTGGCCACAAGAAAACAAATACCCGAGCATAAATGCTTTTGATTGATTAAAGTTAAATAGGGAAAGAAGTGTTTATGATGACTGTTCATATCATAATTAAATACATTATGTGGTAATATTTGATTCTTGCAGTGCAGGTCAGTTAATGTAGACTGCACAAATAAAACAAGAATCCTTTGGAAGTGGAAATGATTTTAGGTTATAATATTATTTACTGGAACAGCTATCTAGCTGGGTAAAGGAATTCCAATAAACTGTAGTATACTAAATAAAGTAAACCTATTAATAAATAATTATCCTTAATAGGGGAAAGTAAATGGTTGTACTTCTATTAGATCTACAGATATGTGGAAAATTATTCCCGTTGGCTAGCTGACTGACACAACATTTCCACGATTCTAAGGAAAATTACATGACACTCCACATCCTAATGCAATGAATTCTATACCACTAAACTATGGGTTAGTAGTATTACTTAATTATAACACTTAGTACAGGAAATGCATCCCATTGTACTGAGGATTAGTAAATGAATATTATTAAATGATTATGATGCCTAATACAGGAAATACATCCTATTGTATTAGGGATGAGAATAATTGTTGGAAATTTCCAACAAGGGCCACCCAAACAACACAAGTGGACCAAGAGCCAATCCAAGCAGATCCCCTCCAGGCAAGAAAACAGAAAATGAAAGAAAACCCTGCAAAAGGACATCTCCAGAAGGAACAGAAACTGACCACCATGTAGGTAGGCAAGCTATGCAGTACCTTACCAGCAAACAGTACCACTTCCTACCCAAGGCCAAACAGAAGCCACGAAAATCCCAGCTGGCCCCATGGGTGGGGTAAGAGCCGAGCGGCAAACACCCCTACAGGAGTGGTTCCCAAAGGTTCTATGGAAGGGAACCATAGAACCCAAGGGTAGCACTTACAGGGTGCCCAGGGAAGAGAACCCTGAATGCATGTAGCTCCATTACTATTTAAAGTACACCTGGCTACCTTGCATCACACACACCAGAAACACACCACGAAGGCACACAACTACACCAGAATCTGAAATAAGAGTCAATGTCTACCCCGGACAACATCAGCCAACGAGCTGGATGGCTTGGGTAACCAGCGCGTGGGGTCCGGGTCTCTTCCCGTCCCCTCTCGAGGGGAGGGAGGAGCTGCATGGACAGGTGGTGAGGTGTGACGTTTGTTTGTTTCCTTAAGCTGTAGGGTAAGTTCTGCCTTCCTGTTCGGTTTTCGGTCGCAAATTCTTACCAAGTAGGGTTTGTTTTGTTATGCCCCCCTTTCTGGGTGCCAACCCCAGTTGATGGCAGACATGGAATGCCCACAACCACATGGGGAGCTTCTATAGGCCATTGCTCCCTGTGCCTCTCTGAGGGGGCCAGGTTCTAGTTTCCCCAGTAGGTTGAACTCTGATTGATGCCCCAGACTAATACAACACACATCAGCTCCAGGGAGCCGTAGCGGTCTTCCCTCAGAAAAGTGCAACTTTTACACCAGCAAATACAGTACACATCGTTATTAGGATGCTGATAATAAACATAGTATTGTGCCTAGAATTAGTGATGTGTGTAGTATATCGTGACACATTTTGCATCATCTGCTGGCACAGTCTGTCGATAGTGTGGTACTATGCTTTCCTTGAATTTCATTACCACACCTACCTGAACTGCTAAATGCTTCATAACTGTGTATGTAAATGTACATAGTTATACATGAATATAGTGCATACTGTATAATAAACACCAAAAATATAATGCATTATTGTTCTTCAGCAAATAACATAGCGCGTATCTAAGTGACAAATTTGTGTACCTATGATCTACATGTTCTGCGATACAAATAACCTTATTGATAGCTCATTGTATCAATACACTTTAAAAGACCCTGGTAAAATGTTATAAATATGGAGAAAATAGTATATATTCAAGGGTTAAATTTCATGCAAAACATGCAGAGCTACTCTGAACACTTGATCACGTTATAAGATTACCATATCCACCAGAATAGCTTAGATACCCAAGAATTTCATAATCATTTATGAAAATGTTTACATAATTATATATGTAGTGTGTATACAGTATAATAACATAACAATAAACAAACTGATATGTTTTATTATAATACATCAGATAACAGTGGATGATTTTCCACATTATTTCCAGAAAGATTACCAATGAAACAAAGCAAATATTTAACAATGAGAAATATTATTTAGGTCACCTACTGGAACTATATTATGCAGTACACTCTTGCAGCACTGGATTGGAATGTGGGGAAATATTATATTCCTGCGAAGCTCTCGTAGTTCAACAGTCTCTACATTGCCATAGTCGACAAACTGAACCTCAACATGCCCGTCTTCTGTAAGCTGACAAATGATAAACTACCTTCAGCAATACTTCAATAAAAGTTTACAGAATACAGCAAATGCCAATTTAATTTGAAGAAAAACATAAAAACTACTACATTATCTGAAGCAAAACAGACTCTCAGTAAATTTTGAAAAGTGTGAATATTTAAATTGCTATTGATTTAGATAACTCATGAAGGAGATTGAGACAAAATTTATAATACATTTAAAACTCAGCATTAAATGTAATGAAATATTTCTTTCTGTGTGAGCCCTGGTGGCTAACTGACGCTATCTTGCCAAGATTGCTCTATGTAAATGGTTCACATGAGACGTAGGAGTTTTGTTTGCCCTACCATGAACCAGAGCCAAAACCAAGTCCCCTCAACGAGGCACAGAGAGCAAATTACAATTCACAATCAGACTGAGATAGCAGCCACAAAGTCAGGAAAGCTTTACTGACAGATGCCAAACAACTCTACAATGATTCACACAAAACAAGAGAAACATTTAAAATTAGGGTGCATGAAAATCTACGTTAACCCACTGCACTGCACCACCTGACATAACACGGGGTATGTTGATGTGCCACGTGACACGTGACCGATGGTAGGATATCGTAAGATTCAAATGCACGCACGGTGGGTTCATTACGAGATGGAGGCCTAAGTCCTCCAGTGAATGGCAGCCGTCTTGAAAAAAAATAGCGTTGAATGTCATGAAACACCATTTTTCTGGGTGAGACCCGGAGGCTCCCTGGAGCTTACTAGACTGATATGCTAATGTCAGATTTTGGCATCAGTCATGTGTATGAATTCTGTGGGCCTACCGGGGACCACGAGCCAGAACTTGGCTCCCTCAGAGAGGCATGGGGAGCAATGGTCCATATAAAGCCCTGTGTGGTTGAAAGCATTCTATGTCTGCCAACCACACTGGAAAAGGTGCAAAGACATGCTACTAAGTGGCTCCCAGAACTGAAGGGCAAGAGCTACGAGGAGAGGTTAGAGGCATTAAATATGCCAAAACTAGAAGACAGAAGAAAGAGGTGATATGATCACAACATACAAAATAGTAACAGGAATTGATAAAATCGATAGGGAAGATTTCCTGAGACCTGGATCTTTAAGAACAAGAGGTCATAGATATAAACTAGCTAAACACAGATGCCGAAGAAATATAAGAAAATTCACTTTCGCAAACTGAGTGGTAGACGGTTGGAACAAGTTAGGTGAGGTGGTGGAGGCCAAGACCGTCAGTAGTTTCAAAGCGTTAGACGACAAAGAGTGCTGGGAAGACGGGACACCACGAGCGTAGCTCTCATCCTGTAACTACACTTAGGTAATTACACTTAGGTAATTATCAACCAAGTCAGGCACCCAGAAAGGTAAGCATCCCAAAACAAACCCCTATTCTGGTGAAAATATTGCTACCAAAAGCCAAACAAGTGGATAGAACTCCCCTAAAAGAAACGAGCAAACGAGCATGACGTCACACGTCGCCACGCTGCTGTCTGAGCAGCTCCCCCCCTCCACAGGAAGGGGAAGGGGTAGCCCCAGACCCTCTACGCCGGCTATCCACCCGTCAGTTCTCAGGCTGGATGTCAAATACATGAAAAAAAAAAAAAAATGCCGACCGGAGAGAGGGAGGGATGCCGAGGAGCCTCTGAGTCTCACCCAGAAAATGGCGTTTCATTACATTCAAAGCTGGTTTTCTTGGGGGGAGCCCCTTCGGCTCCCTGGAGCTAGCTACCCACAGAGATAAAACAGAGGGACTTATCTGGGAGGTGGTTGCTGCTCACTCCTCAACTCGAAGTCGAGACAACTGGCTGCAGCCACCGACCCAAAGCGACACAAGCCCGACTAGGCCCAGGAACGTTCACTAGTTAACAAGCAGCCAGGACCCTGTTCAACTGGCAAAAGCCCCGTGCCCGAATGTTAGCCCACGACATGTTGCCGAAGACGGCAGCAAGAGCAACGAACTTATGAACGTCATGGGTACGGGGATAGACCAGATAGACCATGGGCCTGCGGGCCGCTCCAAGCAACAGCCTGGTGGACCAAACTCTCACAAGTCGAGCCTGGCCTCGGGCCGGGCTTGGGGAGTAGAAGAACTCCCAGAACCCCATCAACCAGGTATCAACCACAGGCTGGCTAGCCTTAACCACCATGCTGTGCCGAGTTTGAGAAATTCCCCCAGTGCGCATGAAATAAAGTGTTCCTCCCAAAATTCTTTTTTCTTCGTAAAATAATAAATTCCCTTCCCTAAACACGTCTATGTAAAAATAAATACCAAATTCCACTTACTTTAGCTGTGGGGACGTGGACAAGGTGCACTGTGAAATCATCAGGGCCTGGTCGCCCGTGCACGAATCGCCCAGACACGGTCGTGCGGGCCATTCAAGCACCAGGTGTTGCCACAAATATATTTTAAATTATTTGTTTTATGTATTTCCAATGCGGTTTTATTTGTTTTTTTTCGTATATGATGCATATTTGTGTCCTTTACAATATGTATACAGTAGAACGTTCATAATGTTCCATGGAACTGTGATACTTGTGTCAGTAATGTGTCTACAATAAATGTTTATTGTCGCAATATTACCTGTTAAAAATTCAATGAAATTACAAAATGTACAGTTTCACACACTATTTATAAAGTAACACACTGTATTACACACACAGTACTTCGGAAGTGAGTAATAATCAACGAAGTAGTCCATGGTACACAGTGCGACTTCACTCTCAGTGCACCAGATACAGACAAATTTTCGCTTCCTGTTTCTTCATTCTGTGTGCTTGCAAATAACGCACTCATGTACATTCTTGGCTTTAGTACTTGTAGGTTGTATGGAGCCAAGCTTGTAAAAAATATGGTAGTATTGAAAAGATTATAGGAAAAGATCAATTTGTAAGGTAATCTTGAAAAGATCGCTTTGTATGGTCCTACACAGAAAGATATTCAGCTAGCCTCAAAGAGTGTCCTTCAGTCAGGAAGAGATTCAGGTATTTTTGAAAATATCTATGGAAAACACCACTATGGAAGCCGTTAATACTTCATCTATGTTACTTGTATCAGATGCATCATCACTGAATGCAGAAAATGATTCATCTATGAATCATCTAAAAAATTGGAGATAGCATAGGATTGCAAGGGTGACGCTCAGAGCTACAACTGAATATGCTTGTTGTATCGTCCTCATAGGTGCTGTATCACTTGCATCCGACCTTTGTGTTAGGTCCTTATTGCACCTATCTTCACCAATATTATGACCCTTATGTTCTTTGAACACTAAGGTTTGAATTTCACCGACAGAGCACTATGTTTCAATACCACATCAGGCAGGTGTTTGGGAGCCAGAGGCGCGTGTGCCACCCATGGTTGCTCATTCAGTACTAACCCAGCCAACAGCACCTAAGGCATTCTGGGATTTTTTTCCAAGATGGCTGCCTCTCACTGGAGGTCCTAGGAGTCCATTTCGTACACAACCAATCTCGTACATATTTAAAATTGATACCGAAAAATCAAAAAGAGTTTTCTCATTTGGCGCAGTTTCCCGCTGACCGAGAATACTCGGTTGGCGCAGTTAAATGGTTAATAACTTTGCGGACGACCTGGGAGACCCTCACCCGCAAACAGAAAAGAAGGGAAACTGGATCAACCCAAAGCGCGTCCCCGGACACAGAAGCCGTGGCGCACAAATAACAGCGAAGAGCTGCAACTGGACACAAAACATGATGCACCTCCTACTTAACCAACCAAGCATCAACAACCCAGGGACCCCTCTGGAAAGCTGCAGTCTCATTCTTCGCCAGAAAAGAAGGAGATGACTGCAAACGAACAAAACCATCACGAAGACCGAAGGAGCAGAAATCCCTGCACTGATGGAGAGCATAAAGCTCCTAACCCGACCCCCAGAGGCCAATGCCAACAGATAAAGAGCCTTGGAGAAACAATCCTGAACTGAAGGGGCCACAACAAACCGAGGAGAAGAAAGAGTGCAGTCTGCCCAAAAACCGGGACGGCTCAGGCGGTGCATGAGCAGGCCGGAGGTGAAACAACCCATGAGACAGCTTGCGAAATGGTGCAGAAGTAACATCAATACCAAAAGCAAGCTGAAGTGGCTCCGCAAGCGCCGCACGATAAGAGGCGACAGTGTTAGGCATAAGGTGACGGTCCTGGAACAACCAATAGAGAAAGGAAAACACCACCCTAACAGAAAGCGAAGTACAACGATGAAGACGCAAGAAGAAACAGAAGGACCGCCAGGAAACTTCATACTGCCGCCGAGACGAAGCCCGCAGGTGGGACACTAACAAGGAAGCCACCTGATCACCATAGAGATGATGATAAACTCGAGTAAAAAAAATACCATATGCGAAGACTCGAAGAGAACATCGAACCATCGGGAAAACCTCCAGGTTCGGACACCGAGCAAGCAGTGCCTGAAACCATGGCTGGGCCAACCATCACGAGGCCAAGAGGACAATCCTTCCCTGGTAAGTCTCCAAGCAAGTCAAGACCTGGAGCAACAGCTGAAGCGGGGAAAAGAGATACAGGAACCCCCACCTCGACCAGTCTCAGACTCCGACGGTCTTGCAGTCAGGGAAGGGTGCCACATACAGGGGAAGACGCCGCGACCACGCTGACGCAAAGAGGTCCATCTTAGAGTGACTGACGTCTGGCAAAGGTAACTGAAGGAGTTGGCGTTGACCACCGTCCATTCGGTGGAGAGGGGAACGAAATGAAACAGGCCGTCGGCTAAGACGTTGGACACTCCTCCTCCCCCCCCCACTTCCCGCACATGAACTGCCAGGAGAGCCAAACCCCAAGAGCTCAGCAGACGAGTCACCCGAAGCGACCAGCGCCAAAGAGCCAAGGTCCGCATCGAGCCCTCCTTGGTTCAGACAATGAACCACCGGGAAGCAGTCCTAATGGAGCCGGATCGTTGATCTGCGGGCAACCCGAAGCCTCCGAAGAGCAAACAAAACCGCCGCAAACTCTCGCACTGTTCTGTGGGCTCGACGGAAGGATGGACCCCACCGTCCCTGGCCGGACTGGTCACAAAGCCCCAGCCGAGAGACGACGTGTCCATGAACACATCGAGCAAGGGCTCGGGTAGACGCCACGGCACCGAACCCTGAAAAATCCAAAGAGAAAGCCGGCAACACAGCAGCTGATGCAAGGCCCCTGGGGTCCGAACCCAGCGATCGCGAGAAAGGCGGAAGGGTAGTCCCCGAAGGAACCAGAACAGCCAACAAAGCCAAAGCCGATCCACTGGGTAGACCATCATCGCAAAGTTCAGGCTCCCACAACTGCCAGGTGACCCAGGAGCCCCCCAGAAACAGGCGCAAGTGGGACCACAGCCGCAGGAGAGACTCCGGAGGGAGAGACAAGGAAACAATCCGAGAGTCCCACACGAGACCCAGCCATGTCCAAACCTGGGAGGGAATCAGATGGGACTTCCTGCAGTTCACCAAGAACCCGAACCTGGCGAGCTGGGAACCCAAACCAGCCAGTCGTCGACTTAGACCAACACCCGAACACCTAAGAGATGCAGACGGGCCATTACGACCTGTGTAAGGAGTGTGAACACACGAGGTGCCAGGTTAAACCCGAATGGGAGACAATGAAAGCGGTAACCCTGATGCCCCACAACAAACCTGAGCCAGTCTCTGAACCCTAGATGAATCGGGATGTGCCAATAAGCGTACTGGAGGTTCAGGGACACCATCCAAGCGCCCGACTCCAACAGGAGTCAAACCTGGATTTGCGTAGTCATCCGAAAGGAGGGGCAATGAACCTAGAGGTTCAGACTGGACAAGTCCGGAATGAATCGCAGGTCCGCACAGTCCCGTTTCAGCACTGGGAACAAATGGGAAACCTATCTGAGGGACGCCGTCGTTTCAACCACACCCAAGCAAACACACTCCAATATGACTCGACAGAGCGCAGGGAAAGAGGCCTGCCCCGCCAGCCCCGAACCTCCTGAAGTAGGAGGGGCCACCCAACGCCACGACAGGCCAAGAGAAACGACCCAAACACCCACAAATCGTGGGACTAAGATGAGAGAAGAGAGTACGCAAACGTGACGAAACATCTTCATTGCAACAGGTCACTGTGAACAAACCAAACGCAGTATGTGACTACAATACCAACATGAAAGTGTTGATCACTTCGACCAAATGATAAAATATTATATGTTCACACGGAAATGTCACAAATGAGTGAAGAAAATAACGTTTCTGCAAATGTTTGTCCATAATGCTTTTGTGTTATACAAGTACTACACAACAGATACCAAGAAACTCACATTCCTCCAGTTCCTAAAGTAATCATAATGTCACTAGTGAAGTTTGAGTATAAGGATTAGCCTCTCAACAATGACCACATAATACATGCTGGTGATGTACATGAGGATGACAGCAGTGCTACTGATAACACTGTTGCAACAACTGGACCATCAGGTGTGAGGCAGCCACTCTTCTCTTCTCTTCTTCATCTCAAAATGAACATTTATCATACAACTCAAAAGACGAACTTCAGACAACAACTAGTGGTGCAGCTGCTAGGGAAAGACCTCGTATTGTTGATAAACCTGAACGTCTGAACAGGAACTTGAACCATTCTCTAATTCGCATCGAAAAAACTCTGAGGTGTCATGTCAGCTTCAAGTCTGGTAAAAGGATGGACACCAAGTATAAGTGCAAGTCATGTGATGTGTCACTGTGTGCTGCACTGGGCTCCAGGTTGTACCATCGCAAGAGGCAATACTGGGGGCTAAGCAGTAATGCTTACCCACCATCCCCTCCACCTATAAAACATCTGTTGAACAACTTCAGGAAATCTTTTCCTGGAGCAAGTGGAGGGGTTCTACCTAATGTTCAACTCATGCTCTACAATCATCATTAGGGGGTTAGTACATATATGTTTATTCATTTTTTTATACATATGATATTATGGTACAAACACTTATAAAGGAAGCAACTCTACTTTTTTGTTTGGAGAGTTCTGTCCAACAGTTTGGCTTTCTGTAGTAATTTTTTTTTAACCAGATAGGGTTGGTTTTGCGGCCCCTACCTTTCTGGGTGTCTGACCCGGTCGATGGCAGACATAGAATGCTCTGAACCACACAGGGGTTTCTATAGACCATTGCTCTTCGTACCTCTCTGAGGGGGCCAGGTTCTGGTTCGTGGTCCCCGGTAGGCCTAGAAATCCATTCACTTTGACTGATGCCAGGGTCTAATACATTGATATCTGCCCGAATAGCTCCAGGAAGCCGAAGGGGCTCCCCCCAGAAATTATCAGGAAAACTGGAGAAACTTTTGACAAGCTGCTGGGTTTCCTCCCTATGTCGAGACCATTGGGTAGATAGTGGCCTCAAGTAAATTGAGGTAAACATTGGAGTGTATATATGGGACTAAAATGGACCTTCATTGTAACACAAATTTTACATATGCACAGCCTCTGGTAGTAACTAGTGCACATGAATATTGCAACCATAAATAAAATCAGAAATACTGATTTTTAAAAGATTAAATTTAAGTAACTTACTTTATTAACAGTTGCACGGTACCACTTGTTATCCAAGTGAAAACGTGAAATAACAGGATCACCAGGGGCCCAACACAGGTCATTATCAGTTGGAGTAGAACCTGCAAACTGCATTGTTTGGCTCTCATAAATCAATTCTAAAGTTCGTGCATCTGTTGATAAGGAAAAACAATATTTTTAAATAAATGATATTTGAGAAAATGCCTTTAATTTGCAACATTCTTCTTGTTACATAAATTATGGTGACAATAAACACAGACACTAAGATAATATATATATTTGGACGAATGTAGTATACAGAAGTTTGCAGGTAAAACTTGACGAGAAATGATGTGATAGCGAGTTGAGTGCACTGAGAGTCGGTGTTGAATAGTGCAGTATCTCTCAAGCATCTGTACTAAACAACTCTAGAAAGTAGATTGATAATTACTCGCTTCTCAATTGCTTTTATGATTGGACCACACCTAATTGTCCTCTACAGGTTGGAAGGAATGTTAACTAATTAGGGAAAAAAGTTTGAATTTCGTCATTAGTGCTAATGAGAGTTGTGCTACTCCCATTAAGCTACTGAAGTTAGGAGCAAGTATATTATTGACATAATCTATTCGCTACGTAACTCCCCCTCCTAGGGGATGAAAGGAAGGATACTTGAGCAAGGAACATGGTTGGTCGGTGAATTGTATGCCCTACTCGCGTCAAATAACCCTCAAAGTTAACTTCCTCCTCTTCGCTGATGTCATCTAATTGGGGATGTAGGTTGGGAGGTTGCACAGGATCGTTCATTGTTGTAGGATCCAGTGGTGGATGAAAACCCCTCACCCAGAAGGCCCAAAAGCCCAAGCAAGGGCAAACAGTCCAAGCACTGCTAGTGGGAACTCCCCAAAGCCCCGGGAACTCCGAACATATAGCCTGGGGCAGAGCCGCCCTCCACCCTAGAAGAAAGGCAGAGTTCATGGGAAAGGCAACAAGGGGGGGGCCTTCCAGTAAGCCCCAGAAGCCTCGGCAGGAGGATCATGCTCAAAGACCTCCATCCCAACAGCGAATTAGGCAGCCCCTGGAGCCACCCAAGTCTCATCCCCAACTAAACCATGCCCTGACCACGAAACTCCCGATCAATGTTTGGGGCCAGCAGCAGAAGAATGACATCATCAGGGGAAGAATCCAGGGGCGGACTGAACCAAAGCCGAAGCAACCAACGCCCCCAAGTTCAACCTAACCAAAACAGAGCAGCCACAGCATCAGTCTACGAACTGGAGAGCTGGTAGCCGGCACTGGGTTCTGGGATAGGAAGGGGGTGGGGGGGGGGGGGTAGGAGGGGGCAGAATGAACAAGCGGCACGGCGGTAGTTGATGATGTATGTTGACCAGACCACACACTAGAAGTTGAAGGGACGACGACGTTTCGGTCCGTCCTGGACCATTCTCATGTCACGTTAGCCACGTTATTGTGACTCATCGCCTGCTTGATGATGTATGTTTTTACCTTGTTTTCTTTTGGGGGAGTTCTGTTTTTTGTTTGGTCTTAAGTTTGAAATTTCCTACCAAGTGGGGATTGTTTTGGGATGCCAATCTTCCTGGGTGTCTAAATCCAGTCAATAGCAGACATGGAATACTCCCAAATACAGGGAGGTTTCCTTTGGCCATTGCTCCCTGCGCCTCTCTGAGGGGGCCAGGTTCTGCCTCCCCCGTAAGGCAGAACTCCAGTGACTGAAGCCCCAAACTAATATAGATAATATCAGGCCAATAGCTCCAGGGAGCCGAAGGGGCTTCCTACAATCAGCATTGAATGTAATGAAATGCCATATTCTGGGTGAGCCCTGGAGGCTACCAGAAGCTATCCTGACTGATATGTGCTATATTAATTTGGGGACATCAGTTACGGGAGTTCTCCCTACCTGGGACCATGAGCCAGAACCTGGCCCCCCTCAGTGGCACAGGGAGCAATGGGCACATGAGCACTCTTCATTTAGAGTATGTCATTTCGGCCATCGACCGAGGTATACCCCCAGAAAAATAGGCGCAACAATACAAACCTCCAACTGGTAAAAATTGCAACCTACATCCGAACAGAGCCAAAGAACTTCCCCCAAAAGAAACAATAAACAAGCAAATAGTCATTCAACTAGCGTGCCCGCTCAGGCGAGCCAGCAGCTCCACCCGCCAGTCCGTAGAATTATGAAAAATCGCCAACCTGGAGGGAGGAAGGGTGTCAGGGAGTCTCCAGGGCTCCCAGAGAAAATGCCATTTTATTACATTCAATGCTGGTTTTCTGTGGGGAGTCCCGCTGCCTCCTTGAAACTATCTACCCACAGAAGTTATCCAAGAGGCGGTAGCCCCGCATGTCTCAAAACAAAGAAGAGACAACAGGTTGTGACACACATCCCAAAGCAACACAAGGCCACAAAGGGGACAGAACATTGCAAGATAACAGGCAGCCAGGACCCTGTTCGATTTCCCAAACTCTCGTGCCAGAATGTCAGCCCAAGACATATTTGCAAATACCGCAGTGAGAGCAGCATGTTTCCTCACATCATGGGCATGAGGGTAGACCGCAGGCTGGCTAGACTTCATAACTCTGTGAATAACATGAGACACACGAGCCATGGAACAGGGAACCAGGGAAACTGCATCCACCCAGAGCTCATCCACAGTCGCTGAACCAATTGCGCACAGGTAGTGATGTATAGCCATGGCCGGACACAAAATATGATGCACCTGCATACTAACCAATCATGCATCAACAACCCACGAACTCCTCCAGAAGCCTGCCATCTCATTCTACAGCAGAAAAGATGGAGAGGGCTGTAAATTCACAAAATGACCCCCCCAGGAACAAAGGAGCAAAATCCTCTGCAAGGGGGCCACTACAGAGGAGTGGAGAGAAACAAGAGCACCCGGCCAAAGACCAAGAAGGCTCAGACATATGAGCAGGCTGGAAGGTGAATAAACAAACGAGAGAGCTTACGGAACGGAGCAGAAGTGACAGTAACCCTGAATGCAAGCTGGATCTGCTCCGCCAATGCCACATGATAAGAAGCGACAGTACTTGGCATGAGGTGCTGGTCCTGTAAAAGCTAAGAAAGAAAGGACAAAACAACTGGAACAGACACTAACGAGACCCTATGAAGTGAAAGGAAATGGCAGAGAGACCGCCAGGAGCATATTTCATCAGACTGTCACTGAGAGGAAGACCACAGGTGAGACACTATCATAGTAGCCACCTGATCACCACATAAATGGAGATACATCCGCATCAAAAAGACCAAATGTGAAGCGCAGAAGAGCAGGGCAAAATCAGCGAGCTACCTCACTGGATCAACCTGCTGAAATAAATAAATAAATAAATACATAAATAAATATATAAATAAATGTTTATTCAGGTAAAGTACATACATACAAGAGGTTATACAAAAATTGATAGATTTATAGATACAGCTAGTACATACAATGCCTAAAGCCACTATTACGCAAAGCGTTTCGGGCAGATGTAACGATGAAAGAGGCGGAGCCGCGGAAAACTCTTGGATTCGGACACCGAGCAAGCAGTGCCTAAAACCAAGGTTGGGCTGGCCACCATGGGGCCAGGAGAAGCACTCTTCCCTGCTAAGATTCGAGCTGAGCCAACACCTGGCAACCTGTCCTCGACTCGAGTCCATTACATCCAGCAGTCAACCCCACAGATGCATTCATACATTTTAATAATGTTATCCATTCAAAACAAGAATTTTCACAAATATAAATTAATATTATAATATATTAGCATATTGTGCTTATAGAGGCATAGGTTAGCATATTGTGCTTATAGAGGTTAGGTTAGGTGTTAAGGTTCTGTTGGCTATTATTAGTATTTGTAATACGTGGATGAAGCATTTATAGCGTTATGGTTTGAACAAAATTCGTCAGTGCAGCACTTGTTCCGGAAGTGTTCGAACAAAATCAGTTGCGAGTTGTGTGTAAACCGTTTTTCATTCATAAACAGGGGGTTTGGTGGGTGCATGTTATCACTTTTGGGTCTTTGTTTGGAGGACGGGCTGCACCCGGAGCAACAGTTGGACTGGGAGATAAAGGTACAGGAATCCCCATCTCAACCAATCCCGCCGAAAAGCATCCACTGCGACGGCCTTGCAGTCGGGAAACGACACTACTTATAATAGGAGACACAGAGACCACGGTAATGCAAAGAGGTCCACCTTCAGGTGCCTGAACATCCGGCAAAGCCAAAGGAAGGAGGCATCATCGACCGTCCACTTCGTGGAATGAGGAAGGAAGCGCGACAGGCCATCTGCCAGATGGCCTGGCAGATGGAAACTCCTGGATGTGAACAGCATAGACAGCTAAACCCTGATAACTCAGCAGAAGAGCCATTCGAAGCAATTATGGAGCCGGATCACAGAACCCCGGGGGTTTCAAATCCTCTGCAGCGCCTGCCACACAGACGCAAACTCCCGCAATGTGATAAGAGCCTGACGGAAGGATTGAGCCCAACACCCTTGTGAGGACTGGTCACAAAGCCCCAGCTAAGGGATGAGGCATCCATGAACACATCGAGTGAGGCCAAGGGAAGGCACTATTGCACTGAACTCTGAAAAAAAACGAAGAGGAAGCCAGAGACGTAGTAACCGACGCAAGGACCCCGGGATCGAACCCAGCGATCGTGAGAGTGGGGAAAGGAGCTGCCCTTAAGGTATCAAAACAGCCTCTGAAGCCAAACCCTGCCTAGCGGAAAACCAGAATGGCAAAGTTCAGGCTCCCGCACAACTGCTCGAGCTACCACCAAGTGACCTGGATCTCCTTCAAGAATGGCAGAAAGCAGGACTGCAGCCAGCGCAAAGCCGCAGGGGAAAGAGAGACAGATGCCGTGTAAGACGAGGCCCAACCAAGTCCGAACCTGGGACGGAACTAAATAGGACTTCTTCTAATTCACCAAGAATCTGAACCCGGCAAGCTAGAAAAGAACCAAAACCAAATGTTGCATGAATGACTCATCAAAATAACCCATAAAATATTCAATTTCACTTATATTTTCACCTGTATATGGGAGAGTGGGTGCAACATCATAATCATCAAATTGTGGTTTGCGTGGTACAAAATTATCACAGTCCTCCCTCACAAATTCACTTGTGGTCCTTGTACCAGCACCACCGCCACTGGCA